GTAATTTATGTAACTCAGGAACTCTGCTTTGTTTTTTGTTTGCTTTGCTGGAATTAAAATAGTCTGAACACTGCTCATCCCACCTTGTTGAGAGCAGGAATAATAAAAATAAAAAAATCTGAAATTGATGCAGAGATTTGATGTATTTGCACTGATTTTGTGCATTTTGGATACATGTAAACTCCATAAATGTTTATAAATGATGCCAGTTGTGTGTTAGTAGTTGTGGCCCAGCAGAAGATCAGAGGTTAAATTTATAATCCTTTCTTTCCCTTGTTTAGAGAGGTCATAGAAAAAAAGCCGGAGAAGTTCAAGATCGAATGCCTCACCGACATCAAGAACCTGTTTTTCCCAAACAAACATCCCTTCTATGCAGCCTTTGGAAACAGAGAAAGTGTAAGTTTCACATTTCCTCACTGTCACATGCTTTCCTTCACAACATATTATATTTGTATGAAAACCGCAGGATTTACCAACCTCAAAGAGTATGTTTAGTTAGATGCAATGACTCAGAAAATAAGCCGTATTGTCTTTTTCCCCTGTGTTTCAGGACGTGTTTGCCTACAAGCAAGTGGGTGTGCCCGTGTGCCGGATATTCACAGTGAATCCCAAAGGGGAGTTAATCCTCGAGCAAGCCAAAGGCAATAAAACATCGTGAGTATTGAACCATTACTGGAGTCATTGTTTGTGTCTCTCAGACAGATGTTTATTGTTCCCACCACTGCTTTTTGATTTACAGATACAGCCGGCTGAGTGAGCTGGTGGAGCATGTTTTCCCTTTACGAAGTTCACAACACAGCGCCACCTTCAGCTGCCCAGAGTTCAGCTCCTTCTGTTTCTGGAGACAACCCATCGCTGAGGTGTGCTTTGAGGAGCTGCTTTAACTGATATTAATGTTTAACTACTTGAAATCAATGTAACTTATTTCACGACTGTATGCACTGGCTTAATACTGATAAGTCTTCGTAAATGTCAGTTTTGTAGGCAAGGAATAGTTTAATATCATCTTAGACACAAAACATTTTGGTATATTATTGTATTCCATATCCTCTCATTGGGGACTAATTCCCTTCATGCACTTGCAGAGTTGTCTTTGCGCTTGAAGGCTGTCAGCTTTTGGCATAAACAAAAGCTAAACGTATGACATATCAGTCATTATTTGTACCACTTGTTACAGAGAAGATACTGCCTAAGCTCTTATTTAGGCAGTAAAGGTACAATAACTGTGCTGAGAATGGCCTCCGTCTTTCTCTTTCTGACTTGAGAAGTACCATAAAAAATACAATATTTAAAGCAGCTATGCTTTCATTCCTTTAAGGCCTTATTCACACTGTAACAGTCTTATTTAATGTGTAGAAATCTTACACCACTATGCTAGGGAGAAAAGGAGGTGAACTTATTCGGCTCATAGTTGATAAAAAGTTTAAGAAAGCACTTTCTGAAATGTAGATACTGCTGCTATTTGGTATCAAATATACATATATACATAATATATTATGTATATTAAGTATTTTTCCAAAATCAACTAGAGACTTAGACTGACAGTAGGAAAGTATTTTTGATGAATTTTGAAATCTTTGCTGATGTGTTCTGCCAGAAATGATTTTACCATCGTGTACCATATATACCAACTACAGTATGTTAATGTTCCCGCCTGTTTTTGTTTTGATTCTGCTCAGTAACAGCCGTCAGTAATATTTATTGTATTCTTTCTATGAAAGTGACAAACTTTGTGTGAACACACAGTATTTTCCCAGTTCTGCTGCTTGAAGTGTTTTCTGTAGACGTGTGATTGCATGACATTGTTACGACGTTAACAATGTAAGCACAAAGTATGTTTTGGATAATGTTTTTGACAAATACATTCATCTGCTTTTTATTTGTCAGTGTGAGAGGTGAGATTTTTATAGTGTCATAACTGTAGCTCTGCTGTACAAAAACTGTATAATAGTGTATTTACTATATATATTGTATTAATAAACTGTTGTTAAATCAAATGTCCTATGTTGGATGATGCTTTAATTAAAAAAAACAATATTTGAAACTACAGTCAAAGCTTGTTTTAGCACCAACAAGATAGATGAGAAACTGATATCTGTCCAGTTATTAACTAAACTGATCAACTGGAACTTAAATTTTAGCACTAAAGATGAATTAACATCAGTTAATACGCACTATGTGTTTTTAAATATTAAGAAAGAAACTCAGATTGCTGCAGTGGACAATAATTAAATGTTCAAGTGAAATATGTATTTGTAAGAAACAAAACATCAATATACAAAATATAAAGTAATTGCAATGCAAACACTATATATTAGTACTCATGATAGAAATAATCTGATTCATTATTGGGAGACTGTATTATGTTTTTATTTATTTTTCCTTCTGTAAATTGTCTTTCCTCCGATAATATCACTATTAGTGAGCTGCATCCTCAATAATGGACACCATACCCCACTTATGGCTTACATAAGGTGTCAGTTGTCTTTAAGAAGGGCAGGGCTACCGTTTTGACGGGCTGGGGTAAAGAAGCACGACGCTGAAAGATGACAGGATCTCAGAGGAAGCTGAGATGGCGAGTTTTCCAGCGGTCAGGACCAGTCCGGCTCGATCTCCTCTCCTCAGGGACAGAACCAGACTCAGTGAGGTTGAGCTGCTGCAGTTACATTGATCATGTGACAGCGGTACTGCCGCCCCTGACAAGAAGCCCATCGAGTCCAACTTCTGGATGCTGCGATTGGACACGGATAGGACTGCTTCAACCCTCTCCCCTCGCTGGGCTGTGAGCACAGCGGTCACCAGGTAGCGGCCATCAGTGGGAGCTGTGAAGATACCTGAGGACACAGCAAGATGCTCTTAATACACAAGTTCTTACCGAAGAGACACCACTCTGGTCCAGACTAAAGTATCTTCACAGCTATTTGAGGGGTTCCCATGAAATTTTGCACAAACATTTAGAGGTCCAGAGGTCTCATCCTACTGATTTTAATGTTCCCCTGACTTCCTCTAGCGCCTGACCTACATAAACACACTGGACCATCAGCGAAAAGATCGGTTATTTCTGTATAGTTCTTACTGCCTGCCACTGGGTTGGATACAGTCGGATTCCCCTTGAAACGAGGGGGTTAAAATTCAATGTTTCGTAACCAGTTAAAAACTCCTTAAAGTAGAGTTAACAAACTGACAATTTTTTATAATCTATTAATTCTTTAAGCAATTTCTGAAGCAAATATGTCAAACATTTACTAGTTTCAGCATCTTAGAGGAGAACATTTGCTGCTTTTTAATGGACTGAATCAGAATCATTGATTACTAAATATTTTGTGGTTTATACCGTGCTGTTTGGGCCAGTGAGACTGTAGTAATAGTTACCTGTGTTAGTGTCATAGTGTTCTCCATCATTGACCAACACCTTGTTGAATCGAATGATCCCAATCTGTCCCTGGAACGGTGTAAGAGTCAGACCAGCTGAGAACGACACCTTCTCACCTGAGCACAGGAAAGGAAACGTCACACGCTAACAAACATTATATTAACAGAGACAGGAACCTGTATAATGAATAAACTCTTAACCTGAGGCTGGGGCAGGTTTCTGTGGGGCAGGTCTGGGGGGCATGCTCACATCTGTTGACCGAAAGAAAAATAGTTTCACCTACTCTTGACAGGCTCAGTTGTCATGCAGCACAAAAACAGTAAAGTTGTATTTACCTAAGATAAGTGGCGTGTCAGGCTTGAGCGAATCGGCAGATTTAACTTGGGGGGACGCTATGACATAAAACAAAAAGATGAAACATGAAGTAATGCTGGAAAACATGCAGAGCACAATGTACATGTAGGTGTGTCTCACCTGGAGCTCCAGCAAAACCCTGAACGGGCATCATGCTGCCATCAGTCCCCTTGGGCAACTTGGACGAGGTCATCTTGCCTGGGGGTCCCGCCTCTCCGGTCTCGATCACAGGTGGCTGTGGGAGGGAGGCGTCCAGGGGACCAACCGGCAGCAGGAGGCTCTCACTCGAACCCTGGGGAAGTCCTGCGTCCTCCACGCTAACCTGAACACCTGAAAAGGACAGATAAGGTAGTGAGCGATGGGCCTGAGGCTGCAGGTCAGAGAGAGACAGATGCAGGGCCAGATGTTTGGAGGTCAGATCTGTTAACAAACCAGCTGGTTACATGGCGACTTTTAAACCTCACTGCTATAACTACTACTGTCATTACACGCAGTACTAAATCTTGTCTCTTGTCTCACATGTCAAAATGTAACCATTTACAAATGTTAAATGTTATTACAGTGCACACACTTTTTCTTGCTATGACAAGTTCAAGAGTCTGCTGTAAGAAAAGTCTAGTGAAGACGATGTCCACCTCATGAGTTGGTTGTCTTGTGTAGACATATAAGAGGTGGCCAAAATAACATGTACAGCTTATAATACAAAGAGGTAAGTATAACCATAAGCTTAACCTTACAAATACAGGTACTTCTCAAACTGGGGGTAGGGCCATTGCAGGGGGTCACACATGACCAGAAAATGTAAAGACCACGTCAAGTTTAAAGAATTATGTTCATAAAAGAGGGAAAAAAAGCCACAAGAGATGCTTGCAAGGAAATCAAGATTCAGGTTTGCAAGATTTATTCAGATGAAAGATAATCAGGTTAACACTCTCAGAGCTGAAACATGATTTCTCTAAGGAATTATTTAGAGATAGGTCCCAGCAGCACTGTGCCTGACAGGGGAATCTGGTACAATCTCGACTTCACTATCAATATATATGAGAGAAATATCTGGGTTTTGTGTCTAAAGACTTTATCTTTTTCTTTAAATTTTTTGTCTTGGCCTAATGCAACCAGAGACACTCTATTTACTGTATTTTCTCTTGACAGCAGACAAATTTCTCATTGTCATTCCACCCCACCTTGACTCCAGTACAACTCTACTGCAAACTACGTATAATAGATTTTAAAATAAATTGATACCACAACAGAAATCAGAGGTTTAATAATAGTTGTATTAACTGGAGTTCTTCTCTTATTTCATTTTGATGACACAGGATGTCAGGAGCTCCACAGGGTAATTTGACAACATCTCAAATTAGACACGTTTCAGATTTTTAAAATTACCTGTTTGTACCAACATATATTGATTGATCTTATGTAGTATTTCCACTTTTTCACTTTCATTTTTACTAGAAGAAACATTGTAATTGTGTTTATGTTGATGGCAGGGCTACCGTTCAGTCTCATTAACGGCCAAACAGTGACTTATTATCTGAGCCTGTTATTATGGACATAAACAGGGAAAATGACAGACCACTGGCCCCAACTACATGTACCGCTGCATTCCTGAGAACCACCTCTGAGATGAACCGCAGAGTTTATCAACCAATCAACCCTCCTGGCTGGGGGCAGATAGTCGCTGTTACCCTTTGGTGTACACTGAGACAACAGGCCCCAACTCTGCTGCTCCAAAAGTAAAACCAGCACATAAAAGGCATACCAGCAGCATACCAAAGGCACGGCCACATGTTCAATCACCAGGCAGCTTGTCCCCTCACCCCGGGGAAAAGGGTAATTTAGTATAGAGGCCAGAAAAGTCTGCCTGTTAAACACAACATATGGGGAGGAACCAGTGTGCAACCGTAAAACAGCACAGGGGGTAAGGTCCGCGTATACGCACATGTGCGTGTGTTTCACTGGCCTGCGTTTGTTAGTCATGTCACTCCTCATATAAAGCCAAGTATGTGCTCCTCCAGCGAGGAGGCTTTGATGGGACCGATTCAGATTTCAGACCCAGTGCCACAAGGATAAAAGAGGCAAACACAGGATTTATGTATGTATGCGAGAGTTTTGTCACGATAAAAGAGGTGAGATGTAAACAAATGCAGCTGGATTTGCTGCCGACCACAAATTTGCATCTTTCCGCCAATGCAGCATGGGAAACCCTCGCTTTGTTGTTAGTCACTTACACCGCCCTCCCCCTTCCTGCTTCCAGTTCGAGGATACAACAGCACCTTGTGTCACAAGAATGGCCACTTTCCGCATTACATACCACAAAATAATGGCTGCACAGCAATTTGGCGCATGTTGACTTTATGAGTCACTGTTAGCCAAAACTCACTGGGCTCTTAAGAGATTTGATTTAGAAATAAATAAATCCAGAATTTAGAGCTCAGAAGATAAAAAGGCTAAATTTCTTACGTCAGATAATGTGACACCTACTCTGTCGGGATGATGGTATACAACGAGCAGCCACAAAATGCTGCAGGCTTTATTGTTCTTGAGGGCTTTCTGTCAGGTCCCATCTTGTTTTTGGTTCATGGGGTTATCATGTTTGACTGCTGACCAGAGTGCGTCATCCTACAAGCCGCCTTATCTCTCATAGGTCATTAACCTACCAGCTTGAACACTGAGCCTTGTCAGGAGCAGGAAAGCATGTTTTCTTATCTCAGAACTCCCTCATAATAGACGTCTATGATGCGGTTTTAAGTTGGTCACCTTGTCAAACACAACAAGGAGGATGTGCTTTCACACAAGTAAAGGGATTACACTTACAAACTGAGTAAGTGGCACTGTGCAGTGTATGTGAATACTGGTAATTTTCAATTATCTATCAAGTTTTTTAAACAGCACCCAGACACAATAACAATAAGGAGACACATCTCAAGGTCTTTGCTCAGTTGTTGTGGATGAAACTGTCAGATGTGTTCAAAAGCTCCTGAAAAAAATATGAACTGGATGTTGTATTAAGATTTTTTTTGTACAACTTTCTAATAAGTATTTCTTGTCAAAGTAAAAGTGTTTATATGTTCTAACTAATGGCTTTATTCATAGTTAATAAATTATGTAGTAATGCTTTATACATTAGTTATAACCCATTAATAAGAAGGAGGACTTTGGGTTACCAGGTTGTGAAAAGTTATTTTATCTCTTTGGTGTTTATCTTCCTCTAGACACTTGATTTATCTTTTTAGATATCTGTTTAGTTAACCTCCCTGTGAACTAAATAGCTACCACCTACCTACCCTGCAGATTATCTGGACCAAACCATTTTATTAACAACTTATTAATATGTATAAATCTAGACTTAATGGCTTATTAGAAAGCACACACATTTATTGACAGATTATAAACATTTATAACCGCATTCTTACCTAACAAAAAGGATTTTTATAACCTAGCAACCCAAAAGTAACTGATAAAGCATAAATGGTTGATTAACTATTAATAAAGTTATTAGTAACAACTTTTAAATGGGGCCTTGTTAGAAAGTGGTACCAATTTGTGTTTCAAACGACACATTCACTAGATCTGTGTCCCACTGTTGAAAGAAGAAGCAAGTTTTTAAGCTAAATCTCAGTGGCTTATGTATTTCTTTCATATTGTGCCAGCAAGCTGTAATAAATTAAACTGAGAATGGCATGATTAGTATGCACCGAAAGCAACAGAATCACTTAAAGAATGACATATTGCATCCCTCTTCGTCCCTTTCCCGACCCTCTCATTTAAGGTTAACAGCCGGTATGACATCATGGTAAACACATTGACAAATAGCCCTTGGGAGCCTGGTACAGCTTTGAGCGTTCACACTATTTATTCCAACAGAAAAGGAACTCAGCCATGAAGTTTAAAAAATGTGAGAAAACTGCAGATGGAGACAAAAAAGTGTGAGAAACAGGGTGACATAAATGTTGATCCAGTAGCACCTAATCTAAACACACTAGAGCTCTGGGCTCTGAGATGAAGACACCCATGAGTGGTCCCTGAGTGATAAGCCGTGTGGAGATCTCTCTGTAATGGACTCCTCCAAGCAGCATTTTCCAGTCTCTTCAGATAAGCAGGGAAGGAGACAATAGGATGAGGCCGCTGGCAGCGCAAAAACAAACAGGGAGCCAAAGTTTTTACAAAAGCGAGTGGTCAAAATGGTCCCGGTAACATCGCTGCGCATGAGTGGAAACACAAGTGGTGAATAATTGTGCACCCACTTGCAGGACTTCCCAGTGACAGAATGATGAATTAAATGTCATATTATGAGAGCAGCCATTGGGTGGAGTGGCAATAGTCATCACCGATTCAGTATTTGGCAAAACTGAGAACGAACTGGCATCTCTGAGCTACAGATATGTATCTGCAAAAACTTAAGGGATGCAGTGCCTCTGGTCTGACTTGGACTTGAACCAGAACAAGAACCAGGGCTATTTTATTCCAGCTCCCCTCCCATGAGATTCTGGACTGGATCATATGCTGCATCACCTGCCCCATAAAGCAGTGACTGAAAACTAGCTGGTCCCAGAGGAAGAGACTCGGCTCGTAAACATTACGGGCGTGCTTCTAGTTCACATTTACAACTGTGAGAGTCAGAGGAGTCCAGCTCGGTCTCATAGGTACCATTAATGAGCAGACTCATAGAAGAAGTATGCAACATATGCACTGATGAAAATCTATACTTTCAAATTTGCTTACAGTAACAAAACCAAGGCTTAGAATAATATCCAGCATTAAAGATGAACAAATAGCTAAAGATCCACAAGATAAACTACAGGTGAACAAGATCCTGCTACTGCTTACATACTTTACACCCTAAAAACTATACATACATATGAGTTTATGGGCAAATCTAAACATAAATGCAAACTTGGATGCACAAAAAAGCCGAATGAGCAATATTTCTTTATGCCAAGGCATTGCTCAACACAAGTGGGGTCTATTAAAATCAAGCATGTGTCTTCAATCAACCCTGCCTCCTTTAACTGAGAACATGGTTAAATGAAAATCCAACTTCCTCTCACTCACACACTCAAACACACTCCAATATTGCAACCTCCTCAAAAACATGGCCAGCCTGTGATACACAAATGGGCTGCAGTCCAAGCAATGATCTAAAGGGTTGGGAAATATTACAGCTATTTGGATTGATCTTAAGCTTCTACTATTTAAACTTCTGTGGATAATAAATCAGATTCAGACTGATATAAACCTGGGAAAAAAATGGTTTAAAGCAAGACTTTGTAACTTTTGCTGATTAGCAGCAACGGCAGCCACACATGGAAAAGCCAGTGGGACAATCAAAAAAGCAGTCAGTAAGTGTGCAGGCGTTACTGTTGTTTCATGATGCCTTTTTCTGGCAGCCTTGTACTAGAGTGATTTGTGTATAACTATCTTCTACCAACGAGGTAATCTCTCACACTTCAAGGAAATGAAAGTAGTCATTTTGTGTTTGCGTCACGGTACCAACACCTTACCTGTCTTCCCAGGATTGCTGTTTGTTAGCACCTGAAGGTCTCTGGCAACATTAGAGACGTGGTTCTCGAGGTTCTGGCAAATTCCCCTCAATCCTCCAATATCTCGGGCATGAGCTCGAACTGTACCATTCAGCTGGTTGATACAAGTCCACAACCCGGTAACATGTTTGTTCAGACCCTCTTTGATTCTCTGGAGGCTACTGGAGATAGGGTCCAGCTTGCCACATAAACCCTCCACACTAACAATGCGGCTGTCCATGTGGGCAACCTCCTTCCCGACATCATCTGTTTGTTCTCTGCAGTAGTCGGCCTCGGCTTTCACCTCCCTGCCCAGCTTCTCCAGCCGGTCTCTCAGCTCTTGATGCTGAGTCCTGTGGAGCTCCAAAAGGTCCTTGGCCTCTTGCTCAGCCCCTGATTTAACTTGACCCCAGGTAGAGTTGAGACTCTGCAAGGTCTGAGACTGCTGGTGGACTACATCTGATACAGAGTCCTCCAACCTGCCCACACGTCCTTTCAGATAGCCCAACTCGCCATGTATGTTCTCAGTGCTAGTGCTGTAGTTGAGGAGTGGCCCCTCCATGGCTCCAAGGTCATTTATCTTGGCTGTTAGCCTCCTCTCCACAGCATCTACAGCTGTTCTACAGTCTTGTTGAATGTTTTCTACAACAGTCAAATTAGCCTTGCACTCCTTTGAGCAGAGTTGGTCCAAGACATCGAATCGATCCTCCAGAGTTTGAACCGAGCCCTTCAGAGAGTTAACGTCCCTTTGCAGAGCATCCTGACTCTCTGGCTGACCACCAGATGGGGTGTTGGTGAGTGTGTCTTCTATGGCGACCAGTCTGTCCTCCAGAGTCTCCTTCAGGTCTTTGATGGCTTCTGCGCGTTCAATCTTCAGCTTCTCTTCCACAGAGAGGCACTGGGCCGCTAAAGTCTTCTCAGAAGAGTTCAAACGGAGCTCAAGGTTCTTCACATGGGCCAGAACAGAGTCAGATACCCGTGTGTCTTCCTTTCCTGGATCAATCAGCTTGGTCTTAAGGTCTTGGATCTCGTTGCGGAGGTCAGTTTCCTTTGAGTCCATGAGCTCGGCAAGGCTGAGGTAGTTGGCTTCTTGTCCCTCACACTGCTCCCGAACTGACAGGATTTTATAATCGCATGAGTTCTTCAAGTCTGCCAGTTTGATGTCCATGCCTTCCATTAACTCCTCTCTCAGCGCGCGTATCTTCTCGTCCAGGTAGCCACGCAGGTCTGTGTCACTGGCTGGGGGAGCAGAAGGGGGTGTGGACAGCTGGTTCTGGGCAGCCTCCATTAACAGATGAATTTGTCCGTCATGGCGGTTGACACGGCCCAGCAGGTCTTCCAGGGTATTGCTCTTGGACTCTAGATCGTCTGTGACCTGGCTGATCTTGTTCATGACCTCGTCCATCTGCGTTGTCTCGAGCCCAAATGAGAAGTCCTGTACCTGGACGCTTTGGGTCTCGGCACCCCTCGCACTGGCAGGCTGTCTAACGTTATTCAGCAGCGTAAGTAGCATTTTACTGGCGTCCTCCTGGAAATCCAGTCTCAGACTGGAGGACATATCTGTCATTCTTGCCTGCATGTCAAGGACCATCTGGGACAGTCGCTGCACCTCCTCCTCCAGGTGTGCATTTTGATATTCTCCATGACCCCCTTGTGGCCTGTGACCTGTCTGACCTCCAAACTGCCCATCCCCTCTCCATGGATGGTTCCTCTGGCCCTGTGTTTGCTGTTCTGGAGCTATAACAAGAACAGAGAGAGAGTTGGGAAACAATAATATTTTTAATCCAGCAGTTATGTGCCTATTTAATTATGTTTCACATATTTTCAAGCTGGATTTCCTTAGTTATAATCATGTATTTCACCTTGTTGGACTGGAACATGCCCAGAGGCAGAGGGAGCATAAGGCAAACGATCTACTTGGAGTAGTCTTAGGTCTTTCACCTCCCTGCAGTCGTGGCCCTGGTACCCCGGGCAGCACCTCCACTCCAGCTCTGTCACAGTCTTGTATGCAATCTTATACGTGGGCTTAAAGTGGGTCCGATATCTGGAAGCATTTAACGCATGAACATGAATACACTGAATTACAATAGTGCCATTGTATAATAGAAATAATGATTCTGCTCATTAGATGCTCAATAGACAACTTTGTGCAACTCTCCCTTTCTCCGGAATACAATGTTAACTTGGATGATAAAATCTGTTTGTTGACAAGATAAACACCAGTCACATTTGCAATTAATTAATCATTTAGTTGGCAGGAAGTGGCTGAAGACTTTTACACCACTTCCACTCATGAGGACAGTGTTGGCTGACTTGGCCCTGCCACCCGATGATTAACTACATCTCTCAGTGTGTTTGTTGCTCAATGAACACAAGCAAAACAAAGTAATGTAGTCCATGTTTGCCATTCATGAAGAATCAACACAGATGCCTGATAATCAGGTTTTTTTTGCCTCATAAGTCATGTTTTCAAGATTCTTAGAAAAATAGATCTATTAATCCATATTAATATTAATTTTAAGAAACTCCAAAGGTAAATAAGTGCACTGTAATTATGAAAGAATGACGCAGATTCAATAATGCATATAAAGGTTTCATCCTGAATCTATTCTACAATTCAAATAACAAGAAGTGTAAAGAACACAGGGGTTTTAGAAACCAGCAACCTAAGAAAAATCTAATAAAATAATTTAAAAATGTTTGCCAGTGCAACAAAATACAGTATTACGTCATATTGTTAAAAATACTAACAAAAGCAAAGACCTCCACCCACTGTTCCGGGAACTTACATCACTTGTTGCGCACAGTTTGGCAGCTCCGGTGGACACGGTACAAACTCCGGCTGCACGAAACTCTCCGTGCCTCCCACGACGGCACAGCTCACGTTCTTGTGCACAACGTAGGCGCACCAGTTTCTGCAGAAAACCACCGGTTAATCTCTCTTGTGGCGCGTATTCACCGCATGGATTACTTGTCCACATTGTGACCAAACGCTTACATTTACGCATAGCGGATGATAAAAGCCACACTTAAATCAGTCATTAAATACACGAGCACTTTGTTAACATGCAAACATGAAATAAACTTTAACAGACAACCATCACTCACTTATTCCTCTGTCGTGTGTCGGAGCCAGAATACGCGTTGCCCTGGAACATGTTATATTGGTAAGGTGATCCAATGATGAGTGGAAAGGTTATAAAAAGGTGAATAAGTGGCAGTCCGCAGAGTCCGCGCTTCATGGTTCAAATACTTTTAAAATCCTGCAGTATCTTTTCAGATTGTTCTCAGTACTGAAGGTCTGTGGTCCAGAGATCAGTGAAGGCACCGCGGGTTGTTCCCTCTCTGTGTTGCGCAGAACTAAACAGCCTCCTTCCAGATGGAAGATTGGATGTGACGTTACGGGACCCCCTCCAATACTGACAGATGCCTCTTTTTTTCCGTTTCTCAGATCTCACACACACACACACACAAAGCAAATCCCACATCCAACTCTCTTCTGCAAAAACACAATGTCAAAGGCCTACATAATTTCCGGAGGCCTAAATTTGGATAATGATTGTGTTTGTTTCGAAAAGGTACAGTAATTAACCCGTGCGTCTATGAGCGTCTGTCTGTCCAGATCCCTCAAATTAAGATTTTTTTAAATTGTGTATTTTCCCTGAAGTTATTTTTGAGTAGAAATAAAGACACAGGCAAATAAATCTTAGTAAATATGTATTTTTTTAATATACATTCTTTGAGGTATATCATGCTTGTCAGAAATTGTGATTATAACAAAAATTAAATGTTAAAATATAAGAAAACAAATCTGTACAATTAAAATTAATTACAACAACTTAAAAAACTAAACCAATCAAAGAGACTCATGATCAAACTCTCAGGTTCGACTCGTCCACTTCTTATGTGAAACTCTGTCTTCCTCTCTTTGGAACGATGCCGGATGGCTCGCCAGCATTCCCAGGACCGCGTTTTGTTGGTCTTACTGGTGTAGACACTAGAAGTAGAATACAGAGCAATTAAAACAATGTTAAAAACAATACGAAAAGAATACAAATCGAAAAGCTTGAAATATATTCTGTCCTCAAAAAAATAAAACATACCCTGTAGCTTCTCGATCTCCTCCAGCTGTTTTTGTTTCTCCTGCATTTCTTGTTCTTTTCTTTTTGTGTCAGGCGACGACATGCTCTGTAAGTGGTCTTCGCGGTCCTTCGCTGACTTCTCCTTCTTCTGCAAGGTTAAGCGGTAGTGACTGAGCTGTTCTGTTGAACAAAATAAGAGAGCGTTAAGCAAAACTGACTGAACATGAGCACAAAAATGAACTTGACTGTGAGAGACGTCACCTATTTGTCCCTTAAGAGTGTGGTATTCCTGTGGGATGGGGGCTCCAAACACTTGCAGTGTGTTAATCGGTGGGGCTTTGTTTTGTGCGCCTCCGAACTTCCCCCTGGCACTGATCCTGTCCCCCTGCCTGGTCAGGATGGTGGGACACTGTGTCTTATTCTGCACGACCTGTAAGCAACAAGGTACATTTAAAAAGAAAAATAACCACCAGCC